AGGATAGATTAGGAAACATGCCACTCGGTAAAGGTGAGTGCTATATTATAGAATGATATCATGTGTGTACCAGTCCATAATGTAAAATGTCTTTCTTGCTACAAGCTAGAGTCAAAAAGATTTCAAAATCCTGTGACTTAGAAAGGAAAACACATGGAGCTGGATTCTTGCTCCAGCTCCGATACCTAACGACTGAGCAATATTAGGTATTTTTGCTAAATATTCTGAGTCTTAGCCTTCTCATCTGATCAAACCAGCCTGTCTCAAGTTTAGTTATGAGAGCTAAATACATAAAATAGATTGCAAGCTCTGCAGAGCCATAGACACGTTTATGAATGTCATCACTGGCTTACTTTCTGTTTGTCTTAGTTTGTCTTTCATGCTCTGAGTGCCCTCCACCTCCCAGCTCCTAGTCAGACTTCAGCCCTGATTCTCGCTGCCCAGCTCAGCACCTCGCTCCAGCAGACATTTCTTCCTTGGTCATTCGTGGAATCCTTCTTGCACTTACTAAGTGTGCCAAATGCCTACTTATCAAACGTTACCTTGATACTTATTACTAACTCCCATTTAGCACTAAGCTCCATCCTATTTTGTTCACATTTGGTACATGTTTTCATTTCTCTCTCCACCTAGTCTTCAACCTTCCTGAGGGCAAGAGCCACCTTACATCCTCATCGGTATTTCCCATCATGGTAGCCCATTCTCCTGGACCCACAACAGGTCTTCAGAAGGACTTAGCTTCCTGATTCTCATTCAAAAGGCTCAGTGCTCACTTCCTTTCCACTTTGTTAATTCTATATATTCAGAAGACCATGATCTCCTCCATAAATTAGCCTGCCCCCTTTTGGAAACCAGTTGCTCAGACGCTCAGTCCTGTCTGACTCTTTGTGACTCCATGGACCTTAACCCCCCAGGCTCCTCTGTCCATGGGATTCTCCAGGCAAGAATACTGGAGGGGGGTCTAGGGTTTGAGCCACCACCCAGCTCCACCTGTGTGATTCATACTGGTGATCAGAAGCAGAATAATAGCCCCATGCTGACTGTTTGGGGCATCACCAGATAAACCTTTTCCTAAGAGGAGTATCACCCACCAGGAAAGCGGCGGCTGCCTGTGACAACTGTGCTTTTCCGCTAAAGAGGGCCCGGGGCACCTGACCTCCTCCTTGGCCGCGAGCCCCGAGACAGGTTATTAGCAGCACAGCAGCTTCATCCCCAGGAGAGCTGGGATAGAGCCTCCGCTTCTCACCTGTTAATTACCGCTCTTCCTGCAGGAGGCACACCAGGCTAGAAGGGCAGTTCTGGTGCGGAGCGTCCTGATTGCTATTGGGTTCTCTGAGGCTGTGCCTGGCTTTATTCTCAGCAACACTGTTTTCTGCTTCCTCTTTCCCCCCAGGAAACAACCCTGCTGGTCCAACATGGGGAGTCTAGGCTAGGAGGAGGATTTACTGTTTGTTGTTAGATTATCAACAAGCACAGTCTGTTAATGCTCTCTGATGGATTTCTGGATGCGTTTTCCCTTCTGGACTGTTGGAACTCAGCTGCAGAGGCTGGTGTGAGGAGACAAAATGTGTACATGACTCCTCACCCCAAGGGCAGCTAGAAAAAAGCATAGGAATTTATTAGATGAATGCCCAGGTGGGAAACGTCAAACTGACTCTACCTTCCCTGGAAATCACATATCCTGAAGATGCAGTCTAGTTAGGAAGAAAGACTATTGGGCTTGGGGCCTGAATATCTGAGTTTGAAGCCTACTTCTTTCCAGTAACTGATTTGTTTCCAAGGTGCTCTGACATTGGGGATCTCACTTCAACCTCTGGAATCTGCTTTGTCCTCCAGTAAATAAGGACTATGACAGTCTCACTCTTAGGGTGGTTGAGAAGCTTTATGTAAAATGCTCCCTAGAAAATTCTGAGAAAATAGGATTCCTTGTTAATACATAAATGGAATTAGAGCACAGTGGAAAATGGGACACTTTGGCTCTCAATGGCAATTAGACACAATGGGACTAGACTGTTTTCATGACTGGTGAGTCTAAGACAGTTAGGAAAATAGGACTCTCTTCTCTTGCCCTCTATACTGAGGTTTGTGCTACCAAATATGCCAACTCTTGTAACAAAATCAGAACGTGTTTTTGTTTTCTTTGAAAATGGTGCCTAAAAGCCACTCTTGATTTCCCTCAATTATTTAATTTGCAGTGGAGGACTTTAAGTGAAAGGAAAATACTTTTCAATAGAGAGGGCCTAAAATGAAGACTGATAGTTAACAATGTTATAGAGCGATGTGGCAGTTTACAGTTTACACAAGAGTCACATTTCTCCACCCCAGAGGCAACACGAATGGACTTGGCAGTGAGTGCTCTAGAATTCATTCATTTAACAAACAAATCCTCACTGAGCATCCATGTGCAAAAGAGCCCTCAGGATATAGTATAGAAGGTGATAAGATAATACATCTCTGTGGAACTTACGTACCCCTGAGAGATGGTCCAAGAAGAATTTAAAAACATAAAAATAGAATTAGAGGTGCTGAGAGGAAAATAAAACAGGAAAATAATGCTGACACTATAGAGGTGCCATTTTAGAAAGGATGGTTAGGGAGGGAATTTCGGAGGCATTGCCATTTGAAGAGACATTTTAATTAAGGAAGAGAAATATATATATATATATATATATATGGATTTCTGGATATATTTGGATTTCAATTCCATAATGAAAATAAGTGCAAAGGCCCTGAGGCAAGAATATACTCTGCATGTTTGAAAAACAGCACAACTTGGACCTGCCCCTGTTCAGATTAAATTCTTTCTCAGGATCCTTTCCAGCATTTTCTGTCTTCCTAACAGAGGTGCAATCTTTTAATTATTATTTATTCACTCACTTTGGGTAATACAGCAACCACATAAACTTTGCTTTCAAGTGGAGTGAAATTTCCAGTCAAAGCTGGCTGAGTTCAGGACATCAGCTATTTCAAATAAGGCTTCCTGAACTCTGAAAGAGCATTTGGGATTGGTTATTCCAATCAGCCTGCCTGAGACCTCAAGGCTCCCTGTTTATCTTCAGAGTAAAGTGAGATGAAGTGCTTGGTCCTATAAATGCCGGGGTAGAAGGAGCCACAGAGTGCTTCATCCGCACCCTGCAGGACTCTTGAAAAATCACCAGCGGAGAAAGAGTTGGCTGAAGAGCTGAGAGTTGGAAGGGAACAAAATGGATAGGTTTTGCTGGATGTGGGGGGAAAGGACATATACTTGCTTTATAGTTGTTTTTCTCTGTAGACACCGATCCAAACCAGACAATGAAATCCACTTGCACAGCCCAATCCTCTCTGCATATGGGGTTGGGAGCTCCCAACAGCCACGTCTGCTTCCCAGAGAAAATGGAGCTTGAGCTCCCGTTGCTTTTGTCTGCTGCCTGAGTCACCAGTTTAGTGCCATTTGGCACCAGAGGAATGAAAATAGCATCTTTGTAACTGTTTTATGCTAAGTTAGTTAACGGGGACCCTCCTATTTTCTTCATGTTCCATTTTAGAAGGAACACAATTGCACATATGAGCTTCTATTTAGTTTTTCTTTGGGGAACCCAGAAGGCAATGCTGGATGTGCTGACTCAGAGTCCCTGTGTCTGCCACAGCTCTGAGTGATAGCAGGAAGGGGGATCAGACCAGAGAGAAAAGGAGATAGAGGAATGGATCTCACCTCTTGGCTGTCTTCTGGTGAATTGCTCCGGTTCTGTACTTATCCCTTATTGCCACCTCCAGCCAATCAGCACAGTGACTAACATGTCCACACAGAAAGATTTGAAAAGCTGACCAACTCATAATCTTCTTTTTGTTAGAATCTGCCCATTGTCAAATTTCTGTGAATTACAGCTCTCTGATCCTTGAGGGACACACTCCCTGGGCTACACCTCCTTCTTACTAATGCCTCTTTTCTCTTCCATCCTGGTACCCCCTTTGGCCATTATCTCTGTTTATATAGAGAGGCAGAGATGTAGGCCATCTGAACACACTCTTGAAGCAGACTGAATTGCTACATTCAGTCCACTCAGAAGAGCTTTCAAGAACCCAGGTCCTGAATGCTCTTTCTTCCACCCAGGTGTGGAAGACACAGACTCATTCACAGGAGTGATGGCTGGATGAATTCTCCCTAAAGATATGTTCACCCACTATCACCTTTCAACTAGGAGTGCTCAATTATCCCTTAACTTAGACACAGTAGCTGTTCTGGGAAAGGGGGAAATTCGGGCTCTAATCCTGGCTTTCCAGGGATGAGTCATGTCTTCATCTGGGCTCTCAGTTGTCTCATTTGTAAAAGAAGGGAGTTTGGAGCAGATCCTTGGAGCCACAGGGCTCTGCCGGGGCGCCCTGGGCCTTCTGTTCTCCCTTCAGCCAGGGTGAGCTGGTTATCACCCTGAATCGTGGACTTCCATTGGGATTTTGTCAATATCTCTAAGGAGTTTCACTAAGAGTTTGAAAGCCGCTGGGCTAGATAAGGGCTAAGCTGCAAGACGTGAGGAGGCAGCAGAGGAGAGCACTAGGAGGACAAACTGATCTCAGCACAAGCTGCCACCTTCGGACGGCGGGAAAGAAAGAAACTGAGCCGCTCAGTCCTCTCCGACTCCTTGGGACCCCATGGACTGTAGCCCGGGATGCTCCAGGCAAGAGTACTGGAGTGGGCTGCCATTTCCTTCTCCAGGGTACTTCCTGACCCAGGAATAGAACCCCGGTCTCCCGCATTGCGGACAGATTGTTTACCAAACGCGCTACTAGGGAAGTACGGGTGTAGGTAACGGTAATGCTCTCCAAGTGTGGCCCCTGAGCCAGCAGCTCTGGTCACCTGGAAACTTGATAGAAATGCAAATTCCTGAGCCAGGTCCCAGACTGACTGAATCAGAAGCCCCGGGGTGGGAAGGGGACCCTTCAGTCCCTCAAGATTCTGACAGATGCTAAACTGCTGCGGAGGAACGGACTTAACGCCTTTGCCAGAAGCCGTACCACCCCCTTACCGTCACTTCACCCTTAAACATTTTCAAGGCCCCCGAAGGCACACACTCCCAGCTCCGGAAGCGTGCCAGCTCAGCTTGGCTTTCAAAGGTGAGAAGTGAGCATCGAGGACGCAGGTCCGCAGGGCTAAGAAGGCTGGAGGGAGGACTTCTGAGTCGCCACGAGGCCGGGGGCTGGCTCCTCTCTGCAGCTGCCTCAGGATCCCAGAGCTCCCCCAGAGGAGGTGCCTCGCTTATTAACATCATAACTCAAGCAAGTTGCTTGGAGTCACCGCACATGGAAAATTGCCTTCTGCAAAGTGTTGAAGCTGCAAAGTCACCAGCTGAGTCGATAGACTTTTATTTTAACGATGTTTGTGATCAATATTTAAACAGGATTGACCGAGCCTGCTGCTAGCGCACCTCTCTCCTTCCAGCTGCTTGTGAAAGATAAAATATTTACTGGGGACGGGGAGAGGGGGGCATTTACAGTGGTTACACCAAGCGGGGACGTGGCAGCGTGGTATAGGGCAGGAGTGCCATAGGATACATTAGCATCAAGCACTAATGGGTCTGCAGGCTCTGAGGGCCAAAGCAGTTTCTGTTCAGAATTTCTGGGCAGATTAGCAGAGAATTAGAGGAGAATTTATGGAAAGATTTGGTCACTAGTAGTATAATCTTTAGAGTAATAAGAGATTTTCTGGGAAATAGTCATAGTACATTTAATCTTGAATTTATTAAAACACAACAGTTTATAGCTAAGAACCTAGTTCTGGGTTCAGTCAGCTAAACTGTAACCCTACCTATTGTGTTTCCACAGGCACATTCGTTAGCATCTCTGAGTTACATTATTTTTTAATCCATAAAAGGATTCTTCTTGAAGTTGTGAAGTATAAATGTTGCTGTTGCTAAGTCGTGTCTGACTCTTTGTGACCCCATGGACTGCAGCACGCCAGGCTTCCCTGTCCTTCACTATCTCCCAGAGTTTGTTCAAACTCATGTCCATTGAGTCAGTGATGCCACCCAGCCATCTCATCCTCTGTCACCCCCTTCTCCTCCTGCCTTCAATCTTTCCCAGCATCAAGGTCTTTTCCAATGAGTTGGCTCTTTGCATCAGGTGGCCAAAGTATTAGAGCTTCAGCTTCAGCATCAGTCCTTCCAATGAATATTCAGGTTGATTTCCTTTACAATTGACTGGTTTGGATCTCCTTTCTGTCCAAGGGACTCTCAAGAGTCTTCTCCAGCACCATATTTTGAAAGTATCAATTTTTCAGTGCTCAACCTTCTTTATGGTCCAATTCTCACATCGGAACATGACTACTGGAAAAACCATAGCTTTGACTAGATGGACCTTTATCGGCAAAGTGATATCTCTGCTTGTTAATACTGTCTAGGTTTGTCATAGCTTTTCTTCCAAGCAGTAAGCATCTTTTAATTTCATGGCTGCAGTCACTGTCCAGAGTGATTTTGGAGCCCAAGAAAATAAAATCTGTCACTATTTCCAGTAAGAGTGACAAAGTATAAATGAGATGATGTAAAGCAACTTAAATTTGGCTCCCGAGAACAAGCATTCAATACACGTTAGGAAATTATTGGTAGACCTGGAACTTAAGACCCAGATCTATTTGTCTCTGACACTACAATTTCAGAGACTTATTGATATACAAAATTAGATACCATATTAGGACGCAGATTAATTAAGTGATAGGATATATAGTGTAGTCTCTATTAAAGAAAGGGTGAGAAACTAGAAATGGGTCCGGAAATCAGGCGAAACTATATGGGAGAGATGAAACTTGAGTAAAACCCATAAAGGTAAAGAGAACAATTGAGAAAGCCACTGGGAGAACAGAATATGTGAACATAGCACAGGCAGATCCAATGCTGGGAGGGACCTGTTGAATTAGAGGTACTTCTGCTCTTGTCAATACAGAGCAAAAGTTAAGCACCCAGGAAGTCAGGTACACGGGGAAAGGTGTGGACTTGGGAGACAAGACTAGAAGTCTGCTTCTTAAGGAGGGGCGGTAAAGAGGAGATGTGTTGGCGGCTGCACAGAGAAGATTAGTAGGCGTGATAGGGTGACCAACATGTACCAGCTTGTCTGGCACTTTCTCATCTTAGTACTAAATGTCCCCAGTGCCAGAAACCCCTCACCTCTCGGAGAACCAGGATGGTTGGTCACTTTATAATAAAGATGATCAGCAGTACATGCCTTCCCAAAGCCAAAGAAGTAAAGTTCCACAGAGGAGAGACTGGCTGGTGGCATCAGACACAAAAGAGAGAGGACCTGGAAATTACCTACTGGATTGAGCAATCCAGAGGCCCCTGGGACAGAGGAAGGGCCATCCTGATGTAGGTTCTGCGCTTGACTTTTCTGTACCATGCAAAGTCATCGTGGTTACTCCCTTTCAGCCCAGGAATGTCTAGATGAGAGTCATCTCTTAAGAATTTGATTAGTCTCAGGACTTTTTTAGAGCACAAGAAAAACTACTCCTAAGCACATGGCCCCTGGAATGCAGTGTATGGAGCCTGTGTGTTCAGAATTGCTTACCTCTGGTGCAGACAGTGAGGAGTTCAACAGGCTGGTCTCTTGTGCCCAGTACCTAATGATTCTGACGTGACATGGATGGTCAAATGACCGACTTTCCCATTGATCCTGGGAGCTTGAGATGTGAATGATGGATTGGGCCACCCCCGCGCTGCCTGTGAGAAGTCTGACTTTGTTCAGATAAGCTGCTCCAGACAACCTCTCCCTCGCCCTCTCCATCACCCTGTGTTTCAGGCTGTCTCTGCTTTTCTCGTGAAAACCCGTGCCTTCTCCTTGGCTTCTTTCCTCCCCTCCCTCCCTCCTTCCCTTTTGACTTGTCTTCTTTCCATCCCTCAGCTTTCTCTTCTTCCTTTTCTCCTTTTTCTCAATTGTCTCCCTCAACCTGTCTCTTTTTCTTCTTCTGATTTATTTCTTTGAGTCCTTTTTTGTTTAGCTGGGACTTGGCAGGAAGAGGGCCCCCAAAGGCATTAAGATTCTTTCTTTTAAATCATGGGCTGGAATCCAAAAGTCCTCTTAGCCCATCCCAGGGTCTCAGAGTCATATCTACTCCGGTTTTAGCCCAGGGAATCAGCTAAATCAATGGGCAGTGATGTCTCCCTTTAACTGGCCTCCTTAAGGCAGGGCTGCTGGGACAGGCCATGCTGCAGGAGACAGGGAACTCCTCCACTTTCTAACAGGATAATTTTCCCCAAGGTGTGGGGAGTCTGCATCTCCTAGCTTTAGCTTCTCAGACCTTTCTATCGTGGAAACTAAAGGACTCTATTTCAGGGACGCAAAACAGATGCCTATAGAAGATGGGCTGACTTTAGTTACTATTTGAAGGGTTGAACTGAAGCCAGCATGGATTATTTTAAAAGCACAGATATATTTTTTAAGTCAGATCAGTCTGGTTCTTATTAAAGTCGACTGTCTCCATGTGTGTAGGAGTAGGCCGTGGATGTGGATATGTGTCTCGATGTTTTTATTCTTCTTAAATTCTGTGAAGTCATATCTCCACTAATGTATAGGATCAACTTTTAGGCTTTAGATCTGCCTCCTCAGAAACCACAGGGCTGACTTTGAGGGTCTAAGCTCAGACACACTCTGCTTCTCCTTAGAAGTCTCAGTGAATGTCTTGGGGTGTGTTTGAAGAGGGATTGCAAGTTTCTCAGCGTGTTTCTTGTTAGATCAGAGATTCAAAAAAAAACAACAAAAACAAAAATTTGATTTGGTTTGCAACACACATTGTGCTGCCAGTGGGAACAAGCCACACATGCCGTCGTTGACGCAGAGTAATCCTGTCCGGAGTGTTTTTATAGCATCGCTTTCCCTCCACTCACCACAGACTCTCCAGACACCCTTCCAAAGCATTTGTGTCTGTGTGTCTATACATGTCAACAAACTACAAAATTATAAGTGTGTGTATCCATATACATAAGTTCATTGGGGAAAAACGTACTTTTAAAATTGAACAGATTTGAGTTTCTTTTTTTTTTTTCCTGCTCATGTAAGTTCTCGATTATGTACATGTGTGGCCCTTTTCCCAGAGAAAGGCATTTTTCACAGCAAGTTAATCCCAACTCGCAGGTTTAACTTGCTCACTGTCTCTCACACATATAATCTCTTTGGTGTGTAGTCACACCTTAGTCTTTTCTATCTTGACAAAGTCTTCACTGCAACTTTTGGAAATACTTCAATACCTAATCTTCCATCTCTGAAACCCAGAGCTGGGCGCCATTTCCTCTTTCTTCTTCTTGCTGCTGCTTGTGAGAACCCCTGAAATTCAGGCTTACCCTGGCTTCCTTTCTACCTGCCATTACTTCCTTGGAGAATCTTTATCCTTGAGGACTTTGGTCAAAGACAGCATGACAGTGATTCTGAGATCTCCATTCTAACCTTAAGCTTGACCTTTCACCTGTGATTTATGTCCACCTTTCAATCGACACGCAGGATTTTTTTAACTGAAATTTTCCCTCAAAGTACTGTCTAAAATCAAGCTTAATATGTTTTCCTTTCAACCTGTTTTCAACCTTTATGTATCACATTCTAAATTTATTAAAACCACGACATCACCATTTTACTCATCTCTTCCAAAATTCTCACCAGTCCCTGAGGACCGACTTTGCTCACAAATAACCCTTCCTCTTGCTCACCAGTCCCAGTCAACTGTCCTTATCAATACCTACCTAGATTTCTGTAACAGAGATTGAGTTTTTTCCTCTGCCCCGTTGTCTCCTATCTTCCATTCCAAATACTATATTCCTGACAAAATTTTCTGCAAAGTGCCATTTCAGCATCCGAGTCCTTGCTTCACATCCTCATCACCAGTTGGGTCATGTACAGACTCAAAGCTCTCTCTTTCCTAGGCCCGGCTTCATCCTTTATCTTGCCAGTTATCTTCATTTCCTTATAACCCTTTGGCCACTCACCATACCTTTCCACTCCTCAGGTATCCACTAGCGATTTCCTTAGAACAAGCTTCTCTTACTCATCAATACAAATTCCTCATTTCCTAATGGGATTAATTCAAACCTCTCTACCCAGATGAAGCTTTCCCAGATCATGCCTTTCCTTCAGTGCAATGAGTTAGCATTCTCCTAACATGTATATTGGGACACATACTCATCCATTTATGCATTAAGGTTTTTTTTAATGCATTAAGGTTTTTTTTCCCAGTTTCCTCATCTCTTATTTTCTTAAATGCATATTTAAGCAACTTACTAAATCAGACCTTGTT